ATAAGAACATTCAAACTTACATTCTCCTTGATAAAAGCTTATTATTTAGCCCTCGAATGTCGAAAGAATCACCTTCAACACAATTATATTTATATCTTTCTCGGGTTATTTTCAATGAAAATCAAATCACTTCTATGCATCACTAGTATTTGAGATGATTCCAAAACGAAAACATTCAAGGAGGTGAAAGAGAATATATGCCCATAATTGGCCACACACCAACAACAAAACCCTAATAATGTACAAGTGCAAAGACGTTTCTTAAGGAATAATAAGTTCTTAATGCCATCGTTATCGTGTCACTTATTTCTTTAATGGGAGGTGTTAGATGGAAGTCATTTTCTTATTTGTTTTTGCCCCCAAAGGATATGGCCTTGGAATATTTAACTTCAAAAACCAACCCCCCGTCCATTGATGATTAGTTCACAAACTTCAATCATTCATGAACTATCTAAAGTGTTTTTAGTCTTAAAAAAATATTAAATTAATCATTTTTAATTATAAAAATACTATATGTATGCTATAAAATTTTGTAAAGAAGCAGTATCGGTCTCATGATTTTAAAGAAATGGTTCTTAGAAAAATAACAACTAATGAATTATTTTAATGTATTTATAAATAAAAAATACTTTAAAAACATAACCTTTACATCAATATTTATTTTCAAGTTTAGGGTAGCACTCATTAACATCATGGAATTGACAAATAAAATGGAGTTTAATGAAAATACTTATTTATTTATGTGACCAACCGCCGGGTTGGTGGCACAAACAAACAAATATAAATTGAAAGAGGGTGATGATACCGATATTAATGAATTGCAAGTGTTCATATATAATTTTGTTTCAAGAAAACAACTTATAACCCACCACTTGAAAATTTGTAAAACATAATTTATTTGTGTGATTCATTACATCACTTGAGTTTTTGGCAACGAGTCAGCCATTAATTGCACATAATAAGATAATCAAGATAAATATGAGCTATTTCACATAATAAAATAATCAAGATAAATATGAGCTACATCATCACTGATAATAGTAGGAATAGTGCACTCCATTAATCACACTAATAAATCCAACTATTAAGTTAATGGATTATTTTCGCAAACAAATTGATTTGTACCGACTTAGATAGTATTTAGAAATATAATTGAAATTATATTGTTTAAAAAAATTTAAATTTATTTTTGTTTTAAAATTAATTTTTTATGTTTTTAAATCTTTTTGATATACTAATATTAAAGATATTTTTTAAATAAAATTTTTTTAATATATTTTTAAATGAAAAATATTTTAAATATCAAGTATTATTATACTTTCAAATACATCTTTAACAAGAATAAATGCTTTCGCTTCATTAAGATTTATCCAGCAATTCTTTATGTGAATTCCCAACTCTCAATGATTGAAGATAAATTATTAAAAAAGTATAAAAAAAATAGTCAATAAAATATTTTCACTGATGGCGATGCCCTCACCAAGTGCCAAACATCCAACAAGCATGAAATATTTTAATTTTAACCCTCACCAAGTGCCAAACATCCAACAAGAGATGCATGAAATATTTTAATTTTTATTTTTTTAGAATTATTTTTATATTAATATATTAAAACAATATGAAAATACAAATAAAATTAAAAAAATTAAAATTTTTAAAAATACTTTTAAACACGAGAAGATAAATAATTTATAAAGCAGTTCCATGGACCCCACAAAACCCCACTGAGAAGTCAACGTCATGAGCCACGTGTCAGACAACGAGGGCTACCACCTGACGCGTGCGAGAGGGTGCCAGCATGGACAAGAAGTGAATGCCAGCTGGCAATAACCCGACGCAGATACTTGAGCTTAGGGAGAGGCATGAATGCAAAGTGGATTTGGAGGACAAAACAAAACGAAACAGAAACATAATCTGCTGGTCAGGGGCAAGCATAAAAAGATGAATGGTGGCACGTCACACGCTTGGTCACTGCAAAATTGTTTTTACTGGGACAACTCGCTCGAGATGCAAGGACAGCTCAACTCAACAGTGTCCTTTCTCTGTCCTTTCCCAGGTGAAATTGAGTTCCGTATCATCGTCGGATGCCCTGAGGCCCCCGACTCTTTCTTCTTAATAACATTAAAGGTCTCTGACATCCACTTTCTTATGGAGCTGTAATAATTTTTATGATTATTAAAATAATTTAAAAATATTAATTTAAAATAAAAATAAAATTTTAATGTTAATAACAATAGGTGAAAACTCACTTTCAAATACCCTCTAAATTTTGATTAACCAATCACTTTCATGAATAAACAAGATATACGTGTTGATATTTTTTTATAAATTATTAAATTATTTATAAATTTATTTTTAATATCAACGAACAAAAACTATTTAAAAATATTAAAAATTTAATTTAAAATAAAAAATATCAAATTTTAACAAAAATAAATAAATATAACAGCCTCCATCAACAAGCCATGCCGCTAAACAAATCATCATGAATGATTTTAAGTCATTCATAGAATATTAGTGAATTTGTAAAAATAAAATATCTTCTTACAATTTTGAAAGAAGCAAGGCGGTGTCTTAAAACAAAATAAAATAAATGTGAAAGCATGGCATGTTTGGCCAGCTTGCAATGGTGGCATGAAACAGGGCCACGTGTTGATTAGAAAAATAAAGACAAAATTTTAGTCCACTGGTTTGTCAACTAAATTTAGTCAACATGTTGGAAAAGTTAAATAAATTCTTGAGCTAAGGCAGCCAATGAGAATTCACATTTACCCTTCTAGTACTCTGCTAGGAGGGATGACATCATTGGTCATGCTGAATGGATCTATGTATTCTTAATAGATAAGCGATTAAGAGTGGTTACATTAGAAAATTTAAATATAATGTTTTTTTTTGTCTTTATTACCTAATCCAATATTTAATTGTTCTAATTTAAGGGGAGGCTAATCCAGGACACCTTGTTTTAAGAAATGATAAGATGAGAACATTAGATTTATATAAAAAAAATGAGCATAATTAGTTTCTCTCAAATTGAGAATTAATGCAGCTTAAATTTTTTTCAACATTAATAAAATAATAATTCGACACAAGCATTTTAAAAAATACAAAAAATTAATAATTAAGACTCGAGTTTAATAAGCTCAGTTAAATAAAAAAAATATAATTATAGTAAATAAATTAACAAAAAAAATTGACAACGTAAAAAAATAAAATTCAAACTCATTTAGGTTAGCATACCGAATTTATAACTTGATTGTAACATTAGGATAACTATGTAGAAAATAAACCAAATAAAACTTTGAAGTTCAATTATCAAGTAATTTAATATTTAATGGTTAAATTAAAAAAAAAAGCAACAAAAACAAAAGATTCATGTAAACCTGTTAAGATTCATATAAACCCGTTAACTTTGCGACCATAAAACCATAATTGAGATAACTCATTATAAAAGAAATTGAGAGAGAGAAAAAGCACTAAGATTAATTTCTAATAAAAAACAAATAACAATTAAAAAAATAAAGATTAAATTGGATAAAGATAAATAAAAAATAGCTTTATATTATGACAAAGAAAAGAAAAAGAAAAAAAGTCAGTTAGAGCCTAATCACTACTCCTTTATATACATGCAAAACATCAATAAAAATACCACAATGAAACGCCTCAAACACCACCTTAAAAAGAAAAGTTTGAAAGTGAGATAACGCTATATATATTGCCCTCTTGCAGGTGTGTACCTCACACACGTATCATCTATTTTCTTTTTAATAATATGTAAATTTATAAAAAACCTAAATCATCCTTAAATTAATTTGTTAATCACTAAAATGCTATTTTTAAAATAAAAAATGATCTTATTTACATGTTTGAAGATTTTTGCTTTTAAGTGTGATAGTCTTTACATTATTATTTTTTTAAAATGTAAAAAGATCATGTTGCCTCCGTTTAACCTCTTAACAATCAAGGATAATATAAATTTGGATACTATACTTTAAAAAGGATAAAAACTATAATTGTTCTTGGTTAAATTTTTAATGGTTCTCATGAAAAAAATCATTTTATTTCACTAACAAGTTTATTATTATTTTATTGAAAGAATAAAATAGTAATTATATTATCATTGTGAATAATTATCTGTCCAAGGTCATAGTGAATTCAGCTTGGCTTTTATTTTTTTTAGTTTTTTTTTAACAAGCTATTCATTATCTTAAAGAACCCTTAAAAACAAATATCCTAAAAAACCACAATTTAATTTGACTTTACATAATTATTTATTTTATTTATTAAATAGAAATCATAGCACGAGATTATTTAAGAGATCTACTCTCTGTTTCTGTTTCTAATCTACATGAAATTTATAAATACTGGTAAAATTTTTTTATCTTCAAATCAAATTCATAAGTAGATATTGGTTAAAATTTTTTACCTTCAAATTAATCAACCACATCATCTTAAGCATGTGTAACTATGCACTAAGCTAGGGGATAAGCTCAATTATTATTTTTTTAACATAGAAAAGAATTTTTAATATTTTTTTTGATAATATCATTAAATTTAATCTAATTAGTTAATTTTAATTTTTTTTACTTGACTTTTTATTTAGCTCAAATTTCAAATTAAACCATTTAAAAATTAATTTAATATAATTTAGTCAACTTATTTTATGATTTTAAGTTGATCAAATTAAAAATACCATGTCAAAGTAATTTTTATGTCATTAAATTTTAAATTTAGATTAGGTAAAGAATTTGGTTAGAAATTTTTTTATTAATGATTATTTTTTAAACTATTTTTTGCTTGAAACTAAATTAAAATAATATATTTTTTATTTTTTAAAATTTATTTATAATATTAACACATTAAAAAATATAAGAAATATTAAAAAAATAAATTAAAACTAAAAAAAGAAAAAAAATTCAAAAATATAATTCAAGCTAAACAATACCATTATGATGAATAGTAATTGAAGTAGTTTAAATATAAACCTCCACGAAGCCGTCCGAGGCACCTTTCTCTTCTTCTTCACCCCATTCTGACTGCTCCAACGTGTAGACAGGCAGCCCTTTTAGCTCGGTCTTCGCGTTCCCACCACCCCTTTCTCTCTCTAAGACACCCCATTTCTTCAAGAAAAAAAAGGGGTTTCAAAAGTAGTGTTTTTTCTAGTTCTTTCTTTAATGGCAAAATCAAAGAATAATGCAAAGGAAGTTTCTTACATATCAGTTCCATCACAAATAATCAATTCTTTATCTTCTTCTTCTTTACAATCTCTGCTTATTCCTCCAAAGAAACCATCAGCAAACAGGTTCTTTGGGTTGAAATGGTTTAGAAGTCCGAGATTTTGGTTTTTGGCTCTGCTTCTTTGTGGTTTTCTTGGTACGTTAAAGTTATGGCACACTCTTGACCCTTTAATACCGTTTTCTCCTCACCCTTGTGTGACTAGTCAGTCACAGCTGCAAGAGTCTTTTTCTAATGGGCATACAAGACAGCAGCTTGGTTTTGTTTCAAATGATGAAAGAAATGATAGAAAAGATCAAGAAGTAGGATCTGTGAATGCTCAGGAGCTAAAATTTGAGGCAGGTATTATGTCAAACGAAGTAAAACATGAGTCTTTGAAAGGTGTGGTTGATTTTCAGGGTGCAATATCTGGTGGGGTTGAAGAGGAGAGTGAGTTTTGGAAACAACCTGATGGGTTGGGTTATAAGCCTTGTTTAAAGTTTAGTAGTGACTATAGGAGAGGGAGTAAGCTGATTTTTGAGGACAGGAGGAAATATTTACTAGTTGTGGTTTCTGGTGGATTGAATCAGCAGAGGAATCAGATTGTGGATGCTGTGGTGATTGCAAGGATTCTTGGTGCTGCTTTGGTCGTTCCTATTTTGCAAGTTAATGTCATTTGGAGAGATGAAAGGTGAAAAAAAGAAAAGAAAAAAACTATTAAATCATTTTGTATCATAGGCTATGCAAACTAAATTTGTTTCCTTTATTGTCCATAAATGCTATATGTGTGTGTTTATTTAATTAACATTTGTGATTATGGTTTTATACGGTGAATGCAGTGAATTTTCTGATATATTTGATTTGGCGAATTTCAAGAGAGTTCTAGCAAATGATGTGAGAATAGTTTCATCATTGCCATCATATCATCTAACCAGAAGGCCGGTGGTGGAGAGCCAAACTCCTTTCCATGTCTCCCCTCAATGGATCCGCGCACGTTATCTCAAAAGGGTGAGAATTGTTTCTCAGTTTTTTTTCACCGCAGAGTAATTGCTTATCTTCTTTGTATTGATTATTGCTGATCAGTTTGTTGTTTGAAGTAGATGGCTTTTGCCACTTGTTCCTTGTTCACTTTGGAAAGTTGATTCAGCAAATGAAAAATAAAAAAGATGGGAAATTTAGAATGTAGGCATATAAGATAAGCTAAGCTTGGCAGCTGTTGGAAAGTTTCATAATTTTGAGGGCACAAATTGCAGTCTGGCACTCCAGTTATATTAATTGGCTCTGGTCTCATACTGATTGAATGGTTCTGTTTTTATGCTGGATGGCATTTTGGATGAAAGATTCTTTGCCTGTACATTTGATTCACTAGCTTCAGAGAAAGATTGATTCAATGTATAGCTGATTTTAGAGCGTGCTTGAAATTGTGGTAGATATTGGTTTTCAAAGTGTTTTTTTGTTTGGAAATGCATCAAAATATATATTTTTTAAATTATTTTTGAAATCATCATATCTAAACAATCAAAAAATACACAAAAAAAAAAAACCAATTTGAACAAAAACAAATTCAAATTTTTTCAAAGGTGCGGTAGGATTGCAAAAACAAACACAGCCTTAATATCAAACCTGGCTCGAGTTTTGTCCACGATTAGCATGTCCAGTGTATTTATCTCTCATTGGAGTTGTCATTTCACATTTGACCAGTATCAATGTGCTCCAGCAGATACCAATTGGCATAGCGGGTCTTACTTGGTTTATTTTGGTTCTGCAGCTTAACCGAGAAGGTGTTTTGCTTCTACGTGGTTTGGATTCAAGGCTCTCTAAAGATCTTCCTTCTGATCTTCAGAAACTTCGATGCAAGGTATTTTAAGATTTTTCTTGCTTTTTAGTTTTTTCCATTAGGTTGATGGCTTTTCAAAGTTGTGCTAAAATTCGGTCATTTGTGAATTTAAACTCAGTCTAGTGCTGTTCTCCATTCATATTCTCATTGTAGATGTTCTGATCTCGTATATTTTTTTTCCAGGTGGCATTTCATGCATTAAGGCTTGCGCCATCAGTTTTGGAGCTTGGTAACAAGATCGCAGAGAGGATGCAGAGCAAAGGACCTTATCTTGCTCTTCATCTGCGGATGGAGTTGGATGTGTGGGTGAGGACTGGATGCCACCCTGGTTTGAGCCATGACTATGACGAGATAATCAATAAGGAGAGGAAACAACGTCCTGAACTACTCACTGCAAAGTCAAACATGACTTGTCGTGAGAGAAAGCTTGCTGGTCTCTGCCCTTTGAATGCCTTGGAGGTTGCTAGGTTAGAATTTAATGCTATGCAAGCTGTTGTGTCAGGATTAAGGCAATGTGAATTCAATTTGCATAGTTTACCTATTTTTTTATGTTTGAACAATTTCTGAAGTCGAATTTTTATTTAATTTTAATTTATTAGGCTTCTTAAAGCTCTTGGAGCTCCAAAAAGTGCAAGAATATACTGGGCAGGAGGGCAACCACTTGGAGGGAAAGAAGCTTTGCTACCATTAACCAGAGAATTTCCTAATTTCTACAACAAGGAAGATCTTGCCTTACCTGGTGAACTAAAACCATTTGCAAACAAAGCTTCCTTAATGGCCGCCATTGATTATTTAGTTTCAGAGAACAGTGATGTTTTTATGCCATCTCATGGTGGAAACATGGGCCATGCAATCCAGGTACAGTCTGCCATCACTTCTTTGTTTGCATCTTGTAATTTTTACTCTTTCTAATTGTAGAAGCAAGTAGACTAAATATATGCATATACATATATTCTTCTCCAGCTAAAGCACTGACTTTAGCGAATGATTCATTTGTCCAATGGATCTTTAATGATCTTCATTTCATGGATTTAGAATCTCAAATGTGTTTATCCTGCTATCTTTGAAACTGAACTTTTGTTTTTGTTACAGGGACACAGGGCATATGCAGGACACAAGAAGTATATAACCCCAAACAAAAGACACATGCTCCCTTATTTTCTAAATTCTTCTCTCCCTGAAGCAGAGTTCAACAGAGTCATAAAAGAATTGCATCGTGACTCCTTAGGGCAACCAGAACTAAGGACTAGCAAAGCTGGAAGAGATGTTACAAAGTATCCAGTTCCTGAGTGTATGTGCAGAGACTCGCATACTCACGTCTTGTGATTGACACCAAAGACTGCCAACATGATGCAATTAGAATGCAATATGTGCAGAGTGCAGTGACTCGCATGCTTATGGTTAAATCAGTGCCAGCATGACGATAGAATTCATGAGAGCCATGTAAAATGTTCTAGGCAATGATGGCTCTATTGAGCTCCATCTTTGAAGTGCAGCTGCAGAAGGGGAATGCTTTTCCGAGTAATCTCATTTATTTATTCATATGCTCTTATACATGCGTGTATTGTACATGGTACGCAAGATAGGTATGTTACGACAAAATTAGTAAACTATGCAGTGTTTCGTTTGATTCTTTATAGCTTATAGGATACATCAGTTAATTCATTCTTTCTTCTAAATTTATGTAGCATAGGTTCACACGCTGTACATGTACAATAACTCATTTCCAGTGAAATATTATTATAGCTGGAAAGTGTTCATCTGTTTCTCAATCTTGTATCCTTTATTTGTGAGAAAAATAATGAACTTAGTCTTAGAATTGTTTGTTTTTGTTATAGAAATCGTGTTTTATGGAAATTTTGATTTTTTTTTTGATATTTTTGGATAGTTTTGAAGCGATACTGTTAAAAATAAATTTAAAAAATTTAAAAAATATTATGTTCATATTTTTAAAAAGCAACGATATTAAAATGCAAAACACTACCTTATAAGGCTCTGCGTGATGGTGTCTGGACACTAAATTATTACTGAGGTATTGTTCCACATGAGGCTATAGGCTCATCCAGCTTTTGGCATACACAGAGATGCTTACTCTTTGGGGGAGTTAGCTACGCGAACGACAGCCAGTTTTCGAGGTTTGTCTTTTGGGAATTTGTGGTATACGTTGTTTGAGCTTAATCCCAGTGTACTGCCACCCATATAATATATCATATTTTCCCTCTTGGAGCTTTGCTGCGCCCATGCTAGCAAGATTTAATATAGTTTGCCCTTGCTGCATACGTTGGTTGTGCTCTCTCCCAACATAGTAGCCAGTTTTTCAGACTTCGGTTGCTGATATTCATGCAGATAATCAGATTTCAGCGTTGGCTACATATATTCAGCTTTAGCTGCAATACAGATTTTTGGACAGAAAAGCTAGGTGCAATGAGGCAATGTCATTAAATGTGCGGATTAAATACGATTTCTAGATTTAAAAGAGTATAAAAAATGAAGAATTTTATTGGTAGAGTTACATATATAAGTTTCATAATTTAGAGATTTCAGATTGAGTTTCAGTTTAAATATATTTAGAATAAATGCTCAGCTAGTTCAAGGTAACTCAATTTATTGCGCTCACGATTCTTCAACACCCTCTTTGTTAATTTAATTTATGTTAATTTTTAAGGGTGTTATAATGATAATAGACAAGCTAATAATTTAACCAAACTATATGGTCAGAAAAGCATATGGTGAAGAGATTGCTGATAAATCTTTATTCATGGAGCTTATTTAGATGACTTCTGATATGGAAGTTATGTGGACATACTCTATGATTATTTGTTGCAACTTTCAAGCATATTAAATGGAGATGCTATTAGGAACTCCCTTCCCAGTGACACCATGACCAGAAAATGGCTTCAGGAGCTCATATGGAACAACTCCAGCTCCAGTCCTATTTTTCAGGTTCAAGTCAGTGTTCCTTTCATCAATTATCCCTTCGAGCTCCTTCAGTCTTCCAGTGAACTTTTCAAATGCAGCCTTAATGACAGGATTTTCTTCCCAAGATGGTTCTGTTTTCTCGCCGATATACTCCTCGTCAGGCGAATGGCTAGATAAAACATTCAGAACAGCCATCACTTTTGTTGCTTGAAGCTGTGTAGGGGAGCATTTTAAC